ACGAGCACTTGCCCTCCTGCTTCATCGACGGGAAGTTCCTCTTCGAGACTGAAGAACAACAAAGTCAGCAGGGCAGCTGCTGGAGGATTCCGATCGACCAAATCCCTTGGGCCAGTAGAACAAGCCCTCCGGGTCTTGCCAGTTAGGACGAGCCTGCGCCGAGAAAGAAACTCAGGCAGAGGAGGAGGCGGCGGAGGTTCAGCACCTGAATCTCTCCCAGGGTTTCTATGACACAACCATGGCCCACCTGCAGGGCTCGTGACGATTTTGTTCCCCCGTGTCATGAGCAGACACACCTGGATGGGAAGCACTGGCAACCCGCTTGCATCGTCCCACTCGATCTTGCACAGACCTCGCCCCCCGTTCTGCTTCGTCTCTTGCCCCGCGAGCTGCAGCGGAGGGTCAGAGACAGGGAGAGGTCACTTGCTGTTGGACCTTTTTCAGCACATTGATGACTTCCTCACAGAAACCGAAGTAGAACTTGCCGGGAACCTGAGCATGGCAAGTGAGGAGGAGAGGAGAGCCAGGACGAGCATCCTTCACCACGGGAGCAGGAGCGCCGTTCTCTCTCTTGATCCCAGCCATAGCAGGATTCTTCACAGGTGCAGATTTCATGCTGCCGTGGACGAGGGGCGAGTTCTTGGGTCTGTTCTCAATCTCGGCGATCGAGGATCGCGGAGATTCTTTCCCATCGTCTACCCCGTGAGGCAAGAACCAGACAGTCAGAGCAGCGGCATCTGAATCGTTCTTGAGCATCGTAAAGTAGTGATCGAGCCTCCGCGCTTCCAAGATCATGTTGGCGTCACTCGACGAGGAGACACAGAAGAGATCCTCCATCGTGAAGCGGTAGGCGAGGATCAAGTGCTCTGCATGCGACGCCAGGTTCAGTGAGTCCGACTCCTCACCCAGCAACTTCGCCAGGCACATCTTGCTCAGACACGAAACCTTCTTCGGGTTTCGTCTGTCCATCACTCCCGAGAGGTATAAGTAGTGGAGGCAGCAGTGACATTGAGGCATCTCAGCTTCAGAGACTCCTCCGATCCACTCGTCCTTGCTGTTGACGACATTGCTCATGTCCCTGGGGATTCTGAAGCACTTGGGCCTCTTGGAGTCGGGGATCGACGAGTCGCAGTCGCCGGGGCAAAGGAACCTCCTCTCCTCCAACTCCCTCCGAGCAATGTACAACATCTCCGACTCGATCCACTCAGAGGCGCGAGCGTGAATCGCGTCAGAGAAGTTGCGATGGGCCAACGTCATCACCAATCGTTCGTGCGAGAACACAGGGCTCCTCTTTTTGCATTTATATCGTTCCACTGACGCACGACCAAACGGGAGCCAGTCAGCTGGAGCAAAGTTGACGGCCTCGTTGCAGTTGAATCCATGAGAAAACCCACCGTGATATGACTGAGGCATCGTCACGATAAACTCTCCAGGCCTCTGAACCGTGTGGTACACCCTCACCCCTCTCTCCTGAAACACCTTCGGAGAAATCATGGTACAAAGCTTGAACAGGAGCTTTGGATCCTTCTCAAAGAGTTCCGGGACCTCGTTGTAAAATACTTGCTCGAACTTCTCTGCTTCACCACCAGGCACGCCATACCATGTCTTGCCTGCTCCATGATGCATGTAGTTGATGCTGTAGAGGTAGTTGTCCTCGTTGTGCCAGCAAAAGGTTGAAAACAGCATCCCAACGTACACCCACGGCGCTGAGACTCCGCTGATCTCGCCATTGGGCGAGATGTATTTCAAGAGCGATGCTTCCTATGACAACCATCATCTTCTCACACACTTCTGCTGCAGGATCAGTACCTGAAGCGGAAGGTTGTTGAGATTCCATGGCGATTCAACATATTCCTGCAAGTAAGAAGGTAAGGACACTTACCACATCTCATCACGTCAGCACACAGAGACAAGAGACATACTTTGTCTTCCGGCTTGCAGTTTGTTGCTGTAGGGAAGCCACTTCCGTGACCAGAGACGTCAAGATCGTTTCCATACTCCACGCGAAGCATCAAATCTAAAAATCAGAAAAGCATCAGATTGGAAGCTCATCGAACTGAGTGAGATGCACCTCCACCGTCGACCACCCTCCAGTACTCCTTCTCGACGTCCTCAACGGTGACAGGCCTGATCAAGACACATCACAAGGTCTCTCCCCCACCTTCTTTCCTCACCTTTCCCAGTCGCTGAACCACTTGCTCTTGAAGTCATCCGCTCGTCGTCTGAAGGAATGGAACGTGTAGAAGCCTCCTTCCCCGAAACCAAAAGAATCGCCCGCATCTCCTTCTTCTCCCTCCTCTCCAGCGTTTCCTACAAGAGCCATCAGGAACTTTCAACTTGTCCTCTTGAGCCATCGAGACCTGCAGCAGCCGCCATGCGAGCGAAGCGCTTGCGGACCGTAAAGAGAGGTTCCTCCTTGAGCTCTTCTTCAGGCTTCAGTCCCTGCACACTTGTTTCAGACTTCTTCACTGACTCAAGACATCCTGCCGTCCAACCTGCGAGATCGCCATCGCATACTTCTCCAGATACAGACGATAAACATCCCTGCGCAGACTTCAGTCACCTCGAGGTAGCGATGGAGTGACAACAATCGCCAACCTGATTCGCTGCGCTACAGGCCCAGACTGGCTGTTCTTGCCTATTTTCAGAGAAGCTGCCACATCGTTCCATTTCTTCTCTTGGTCCACCTTTGTCATGCCCCCTGGGAATCCCGTCAATCGGTTCAAAGTTGGAAGCAAAGGCGATGCGGACCTCGTTCCTCAACTATCTTGTACAGCAAGTGCAAGTCCACTTGCCTTCCGTCGATGAACGGAATCTGCCGAAAAAGAACAATCAAGCCATAGCTGATGGAAGCAAGAGGGACATTCCGACCTCAGCAGGTACCGACAGATCTCGCTTCTTGTGAAAATGTCTCAATTTCCTCAGGAAATTTGAGCTTGGTCCTTGGCGATGGCGAAGTTGATCAATGGATTGCACGCAGGTCTGGAAATGAAAGGAGTCTCCCTTTTCCTTGATTGTGAACGGACACTTCCATTCCTTGGGAGGGATAATCTTGATAAGGCCAGCTTCCTCTGCCTGCAGTCGGATGCTTTCGATGTATCGCATCGGATCGCGGAATTCCTCCATTGTAGGAAAAAACGTTGGTGCGTCAGGCAGCGATGCTAGCTCATAGTCGACAGCACATGTATCATTCACTCCATTCTCGACCTTGGTAGAAATCCGTTGGGCTGGACCTGTGTTGGAGTCCTCGTTTTCTGGTTGTGTCTGCATGAATGCTTGCCGGAAGCACGAAAGCTCCTTTGTTGATAGGACCTGTGGTCAAACGCGATCAAACTTCACGGTTGCGCAACTTACAAGCAAGCAGTACCTGGACAAGTGTTTTCGAACTCTGCTCTGCCTGGAAAAAGCAAGTCTTACAAAGAGACAGAGATGAAAAGAACCAATACTAGCTTCAAAAAGATCCAACTTCCCATAAACATGTAAAGATTGTGATTGACAAAGGAGGAGGCAGGAAAAGAAGGAACTTTGGAGTCTGGTCTGAAACAATCCAAGAAATATTTCTACTAAAGAGACAGCATTCCGAACAGAATCAAATCAAGCACATGTCATCTTGAGACAATATTGCCGCTTCAGAGACAAAGTCATTGAACTGTAGTGTTGGGTCAGGAACAGAAGGGCTTTACATAAACCTCTCAGACACATTCAAGCTGCTTTCTAACAATCAACTAACACCGTCAAAATGCTTCTGCTTTGAAAACTATTCATGCGTTTTACAGGGTTTTGATGAATCCAAATCTCCATGGCACCAATGAATGTACGATGAGAAAACTCAAGAAAACAAGACATTCCAAGAGATTACAAACCAAGTCAAGATTACAAATATCAAACAGCATAAAAGCAGCGAATACAGCAAGGATGGATGTGGACTTGGTTGTTGGGACAAAAGGGTGTAGACCTCCGAGAAGAGGAAGACACGACAAAGTAGGAAACAGTGAGAAAGAAAGATATGTTTTTCAAACATCGCACAAACGAAAACAAGCACGAGGAGAAGGAGCCCTGCCAGCTACGCAAGAACAGAGATACGAATAACTGATGTCGGAACACAACCAAGAGCATCGGGAAATGCAGGTGAGGTAGAGGAGAGAAAAAAGAGGAAGAGGATGAAGGAGCAGAAGCAGAAGAAGAAGCAGCAGCAGCAGATGGAAGCGAGGGAGGAGGAGGAGGAGGAGGAGGTGGTGGTGGGGGGGGGGGGATGCAGGGGCGAGGGGGGTCATGGGGAGGAGGAGGAGGAGGAGGAAGGAGGAGGCATGAGATCTGTCTTTGACTTGCGGAGAACAATAATGCATCAGAGAGGCAGCATCGCAAGAACAAACGAAGAAGCGCATGGCAGAATCGGCAGCGAGCGCGAGAGCAGTAAGACCAGAATCAGTATTCAAAGTCATGACAACAGCAAAAGGTTGCCGGTCGAACATGGCTGCCGCTCCATGCCGCCTACCCTCTCAGCACTCATCAACAGCTACCATGCATGCAGAGCATTCGTACACGGGGGCGCATGACAAGCAAGAAACACAGAGGGAGGAGGAGGAGGGGCAGGAGGGCTAAGGAGGAGGGGCGGCATTCCAGTTTCAACCATCGCACTCTAGGCGGTGATCTTGACTCGCAAAGTCGCCGTCGGCGCGATAAGCGCGCAGCAGAAGGAAATAGAGCCGGCGACAAAAAGGAGCCGCCGGGGCCCGCGGCACGTTAAAACCGCAGCCGCCACCCTGACTTGAGGGACTAGAGGACGGGTGGGGAGGAGGAGGAGGAGGAGCGGGATCGTGAGCAGGAGGAGCGGGAGGAGCGGGAGAGGGAGGAGGGAGTGGATAGGAAGGAAAGTTGGATTGAAGTGATAGGCTGCAAAGTTGAACACAGCAGCACGCATGGGAGCGGCGCGGAGGAGGAGGAGGTAGGGGTGGGGTAGGTAGAGGGGTGGGGGGTAGTGCAATTGATTTGTTGGCGATGAAATGCCAATTCAACGAACAGGGAAGAGGGAGGGAGGGGGAGGGCGAGGAGGAGGAGAGGTAGCGTGCTATGAGAAAGGCTGGTGCATGAGGGGGCGGAGGATACACCATCCTGCTAATACATCCACCTAGTTTGCAAGCAGACATGCGTTGATTTGCGCAATGCAGATTATACCAGGCAGACTGGTGATAGGGGTGGTAGGCCGCGAAACGCGGGGATATGACAGGAGGAAAGCGAATGATAGCAGCAGAAGGAGGAGGAGGAGAGGCGAGGACGATTTGAGGAGGAGGAGTGAGGGGGAGGACGAGGATGAGTCCCTGTGTCAAGACTTGCTGAGAGTCGGATAGAGTCTTGTCGGCAAGGGGTGCATAGGGTATGACCATCGTTCCATTGGTAGGGTCGGATGATCGAGCAGGGGTAGAATATACACGGTGGGTACTTCACCTTGATAGAGGGTGGGGTACAGATCACAAAATGGGTAAATGTGCAGCAAAGTCTATAAGGGTGGGGTACTTGTATGTATAATGAGGGGGTGCTCGAGGAAAGATAGTGGGTCATATGATGACCCTACCCCCTTGTTAAAGTTGATTATGTTACGTAGGCGAGGGGCATCATAAGGGCCCTAAGAAGGGGTGGGGCTTCGTAATTGCTGCTAGGAAGGGGTTGTAAACAGTGGTCATGGTCTGGAAAAGAGGGGGTGGGTGTAGGTGACTCATTTTAAAACAAGTAAACCAGTGGTGGGGTATTTTCTGGTAAGGTGTCCTGTCAAAAGATGGGGTACCGAGTACCAGGGGTAGTAGTCATCACCTATTCCCCCACGTATTTGGATGGTGACCTTTACAATACTTTTATAAAATTTAAAACATTTTAAACAAGACCCTCATCCCCCCTCCACATCCTGACCCACATCCCTCCACTGACCATTGCACTGGTAGACCTCATCCCTCCTATGACCGCCCGTCATGTATTCGTGCTGTTTTTAACTAAACTTTGAGTAAACGACTTTCAAACCTGGAAAGCGATGGCTGCGACCAGGAACTGAGGAGGAGCGGCGGAGGGGACGGAGGTTCGATAAGATATGAGTATACTGTAGTGAGAGAGTTCGAAGGAGGATCACAGCCTGCCAGTGGAGGAAGGACTGCCTCCGAAGCCGCAGAAATGCCTCATTGACTATTGGTGGCTTCGACCAATACTCGACGACGTAGTGGACCCCCAAGGCTCGACCACAGAGAAATTGAAGCACGAAGGAGCTCGAGCATGAATACATCGCACGATAAGAATGTTGGTAACAAAGCAAAGTCCATGCGTGAGCGGCAATTTCTTGGCCTTTCAAAAGGCAAATTTCAGCCTGACGGCAGCAGGAGTATGATGCCGGCTTTACAGAGACTTTCTCGCAAAATTTTTGACATCTCACAAGAAGTGGATACTATACGTGACAAACTTCACGAAGTTCAAACTGAATTTTCGATGATTATCAGGAACAGCGTCCAATCAAAAGAGCTCGACACACATAGAGCCGCTCATTCTAAGGAGACTGAAACAGACAGGATCCCCAAACCTACGGGCCAGCATCCAGAAGAACCGTCAAGCAAGAGGGCAAAGCAAGCCACGGACGCGAAGGATGATGATGGCGACATGTCGGACGAGAACTCTTTGTCTGACGAATCTTCATTTGAAGAAGTTTTGGCCTCCAAGGCCACTGCGCCGAAGCAGGTGGTGCCCGTTAACCGTGAGAACAAGAGCCAGCTGGCTGCTATGAAGCCAGCAGCCAAGCACGCACAAGGAGGACAAGTCGTGCAGAAGGGGCAGGGAGGGCAGAGTGTGCGGGGAGGACAGGGAGGGCAGGGAAAAGCAACGCCAAGTTCTTTTCGGAAGGTGAACTTGAGCCGGCAGGCCATCTTGGACGAGCTGAACCTTCTTGGAAAGCGGATACTGGACATTGAATCTCTTCGGATTATTGTTGACAAGTATGGTTGCTCGAAGGAACAAGTCCTCACAAAGATGCAAATTAGCCGCCTGAGCGAAATGTGGGACGAGTAGATTGCGGGAAGTGAATTGAAATAAATCTCAACACTTATGTGCCTTTCTCAAAGATGTGGAGGTATCACCACTGAGAATCTTCACTTCTTCTTTCCTTTACTTGGAATGAATAAATCTCCGATCTGTGTCGAGTTCATCACCATATCTCCTCTCTGGAACTCCTTGACTATCTTCTCCAACCCAAAATCCCTCACCTGATAAAATGTTTTTCGCTCAGTCTCAGGCAACACAACCGAAAAAAAGTACGTTTCGAGCGCAATTCATCTGAGGGTTCGAAAGATCTTGAATGCAAATGACCTGGCCCTGCTCTTCACCCCATTCGACAGCTGATTTTAACAATGGTTTTGCATTGGTCCCTGAGATAACCTCTTCGTTCCAATCAAAATCCTGTTGTCCATCAATCCTTTTCACTTATCACATTCATATCCACCTCCGCATAATACTTGAAAAACTTTCCCAGAAGCTCTGAAAGGGTCTGGACGTTCTCAGAAACCCACTCGCGACGGCTGGAGCATAGGACTGGTCAATGTTGGACGGAGCAAACAGGTGCGAGGGCTGTTTGCACACACAACAGATCAACTCACCCTTGAAACTTCGAATCCTGCAGCAATTGATCTCGACTCGATAACTTCAGTACATTACCATGGATTGGTTTGTTACAGTCCAAAATCGGCAAGATCGGAGGTTGGATCCTGACACAAACCAGCTCGTGAGTGCTGATCGCAATGTTGATGGACTTACGTTTGACAGAAGTGCAGAACCAGAAGACAATAACAATACGAATTCATTAGATTCGCTCCGTCATTGATGCCCCTTGTTCTGGACCAATGCTTCACGAGGATGGCAAGCTTCGAGATTCTGTCAGTCCATGCAACAAACAAAAACAAGAGAGTAGCATCTTGAATGCAAAGGCCAAGAGAAAGGGGGGAAAAAGGAACAGAAGTGCAGAAGTGTTGGGGATAGAAAGCTAGATACCTGTCTGAACCTTGAGTCCATGTTCGAATATCTTTGAAGGAGTCTAGCCTGGGGTATCGGGGCAGCATTTCCAGTGGAAAGGTCAGCCTTGATCTACAGCCAACCTCTTCAGAACATCACAAGGTAAGGATGGCAGGTACGTTTGTGTTCTTGTCCTCCAGCTTGATCAGGGGCACGCGACATCGCAAAATTGCCAAACACTGACATTGAAGTCGCTGACGGAGGACCTTTGAGAGTCTCTTCAACAACTTTCGTTTCGTTTCAAGTCCCATGTCCTGGAAGCCAGTTGAGAAGTCGAACGGGCCAGCAGGCAAAAGGCTTTTCTCACCTGATCACCAATGCAAAATGTAATGTCCAAGTCGCTATCAACTGTCGCACACCCATAAACTGTTGATCCGTACAGAGACAGTGTGGTTGTCGGCCCAAATGTTTCCTTAAGGACACTGTGAATCGAGTCAAGAGCAACTGAGACAGAGGATGGAAGAGAGCTGATAGACCTTCCAAGCTGCAAGACGAATGAGTTGATCTTCAATAGCATGCTGTCTTTTGACTCGACACTTGATATCACTCTGCTCAGGTAAGCGTTCTTGTCGTAACACTCCTCGGCCTTGGGCGTACTGGAGGGAGTATGTAGCATCACAGTGGCAGGCAGGTGGTTCACTACAACTGCATCCGCCTGCTTCTCCGCCTTCTTCTCCGCCTTCTTCTCCGCCTCCTCTCCCGCCTTCTTCTCTACCAGCCTCCCCTCCTTGTCGGTTCCTTGATCGGACATGGAGGCTACAGGAGCGGTCAGAATCGGCAAAATCAAAAATAAGTTTGAAACTTTGATTCAAAAAAAAACTCGCGGCATTGAATAAATTTCAAAGCTTCAAAGTTTCAAAGTTTCCCAGCATACAAAGTTTGAGTAATTTATCATGGCCGCACGGAAGTTTTAGAAGTTTCCAGCATTGAAAGTTTGAAGTTTTCAGCATTGAAAGTTTGAAGTTTCTTTCGCTCAATTCGAAATCCTTTCAGTCCGTTGACAAGGAGGAACTTTACTCCCGGGAGTGGGTACTGGGGGAGCCTGTTCGATCGAGTACTTGAGGCTCAGGTGGTATGTATAGCCTTTTTACTTAGAGAGGAACCTAATAAATACGGTACCATGATACTAAAGCATAATTCGAACCGAGAGCAATAATATTCCCAACTTCTGCATCATATTCCCGGGCCGGGGGGTAGGGTAGTGAGACTTGACTGGCTTCAGTCACATGGCGAAGGAAACTAGTGAGGTCGAGAAGGGAAGAAGGGAGGGGAGGAGGAGGGGAAGGGAAGAGGAGCAGCAGCGCAGGTCATGCAGCTCAGCGGTTGTGAGGGAAACACCCGTGAGGAGGAGCGATGCAGAAGATCGTTCCGGCGTCCTCTGACACGAGCCGCTACAACTTTGTGAATCGTCTTTCGTCCATGTTCACCAGCTCACTCCTGTTGCTGCCAAGTTCCATGACTCAAGGCGCCCATACCATGAACTACATTGCATGTTTGAATAGTTTTTGGTCTTCCTGGATCATTTTGTTTTTTTGTGGCTCTCCATCTCACCTTTCAGCATCAAATTTTTCTCAAAGTTGACTCCTCACTCCCGCAATTGCTATCACTTCCTGGTGTGACGCCTCATTGCTTAGCAGGATATGTGCCAAGAGTGACGCATTTTCCGGTGGATTCCTTCAAAGACAGTAAGTTCCGACAAGGATTGCGTGCCTGCTGACATATCTGTGTAGATGGAGGGCAAGAACGATGCTTTTGTCCTGTAGAAATCCTTCGTTTGCGAGGCTCAGTAATCTGGATCTGGCGCCCGTGGAAGCATGAAAGCTTCTTCTCTCTCTTACATCCCTCCTCCTCTCCCCAGGATGACCAAAGGAGATGGGCATGACAGCTTGACAAAAGACATGTCCGTTCCGCCCTCCAAACCTCTGCCGCGGGTCCCGAGCTCCCCAAGATCAGTGGGCTCGACGAGCCAGACGTCGGCGGGGAGGAGCAAGGAGTACAAGTCTCTGATGCTCAAGAGATCGGACGGGCCTCCGGGGAGCAAGTGCGGCATCGGGATCACGTTCTGGAAGACGTACCCGGTCGGCCCCTTCACCATCGCAGCCCTAAAGGAGCACGGCCCTGCTGCTGCCTCCTGCCTAGTCCATCCTGGCGACCTTCTGCATGCTGTGGACCAGATCTCCGTCTACGAGAAAGTTCCGGACGAGGTAGGGGGCAGCGAGCCTCCCGCATGCAGGTTGACGCTGAAGGGTTCTGCAGGTGACGCAGATGATTATTGGAGAGCCCAAGTCCACTGTGGTGAGCTGGGAGACGAGTTGTGCTTGTTCCCCGTCATGGTTGTGATGGAATGCTGGCAGGAGTTGCTCATCTCTTGCAGCCACGGGACAGCAGACACACCGCAGGAGGAGCAGGTGGGGAACTGTTAAGGCCGCTGCTGCTGTTGCTGCCGCTGCTGCTGCTGCTGACCTGTGCGGCAGAAGGGACCGGAGCGAGACGACAAGAATTCTCCGCTGCTCGTCAGCTCTGGAAGTCGCGCAGAGACGATGGAGCACAAGATCACATCCTCCCCTTACACCACCCCCACTAGCTCGACTATCATGCGATCGCTCCCCTCTCGCCCCTCCTCCCCCTGGTCGGTCGGGCAGGGGCCAGGATACAACGTGGCCGCAGAGATCACTGGGATGAACCGTGAGTACATGAGCCCGAGGAGCGTGGAGTCGAAGCTGAGGAAAGATCGCGCGAGCCCAAGGAGAGAGGAGGAGAGAAGGGAGGACGACTTCTCGCCATGGAGCAGCAGGGAACATCTTGAGAAGGAAGAGGAGGCGATTGAGGTGTTCAAGGAGAAGCTGGACCAGGTGTTCAAGGAGCTGGAGAAGGAGAGGAGGAGAATAGATGAGCTCAACAAGGAGAGGAACGCCAGCATGGCTAAGATCCAGGCTCAGGCGGCAGCGATCAGGGGCCTCAAAGGAGACAAGGAGATGCTGACGGCGAGGGTGGAGCGGCTGCAGGCAGACCTGAGGGACCAGGAGGTCATGACGACTAAGTTGAAGGATGTTGAGATGCATCTGGAGGGGTCGAAGAAGAAGTCGGCAGACTTGACGAGGAAGCTGGTGGGTTGAGGAGGAGAGGAGCACGTGCTTGTGGTTACTTGAGACGGCAGGAAGAGGCGGAGAAGAAGCTCTTGTCGATGCAGAGTCAGTCCGGTCAAGCGAGGGATGTGCAGAGACAGGTGAAGTTGGTCTGTGCTGCGATGAGAGTGAGTTACAATGTCCCCGCAGCTGGATCAAGTCATGCTGGAGAAGCGACAGCTGGAAGAGAGCATGCTGAAGATGCAGCAGGGCGAGAAGATGCTGCTCGAGTCATCCCGCCAGGCGATAGAGGTGAGACTTGCTGGTGAAAGTCAAAGAGAATAGTGATGATCACGATGATCATGGTAACGATGATGATTCGAGGAGGAGGAGGAGGAGGAGGAGGAGGAGGAGGAGGAGGGGGTATTTGACCTGACGAGTTGATCGAAACCTCCCCTCAGGAATTGAGCAAGCAGCACAGCCGAGACACGAGAGATGCCAACGACAAGGTTGAGCAGAGGGAAAGAGCCAAGGTTGACATGAGGCTGATCAGGTTCAAAACCTTCAAGACGAGCTCAAAGTTGTTCGACGGATCGCAACCCTGAGGGCGATGAGGATCGCGATTTTACAGCAGCAGCTAGAGGAGCTGACGTCCAAAAGCAACCCAGGTAGGAGAGGAGAGAGAGAGGAGGTCCTACGAGATGCGAGCAGGGCAGAGGGGAGGGGAGGGGAGAGGTGAAGGAGAGGTGAAGTGACAACGAGGAGATGGAGTGAATGACTTCCTCCTGTAGAGAACGTGAGGGCAAAGGAGGACAAGATCGCGCAGCTGGAGGAAAGCATCAGCAACATCCGCGATGAGAAGAGGAGCGAGCAGGAGAGGCTGAATACCTCGCTGCAGCAAGCGAACTCGAAGCTGGCAAGATTGCAAGTAAGAAAGAGTGTGGTTATGATGTAATTGCAACCTATCTTTTCTTTTGTGATGCGGCATTATGTTGAGTTTGATTGATCACGGAGTACTCGTATGTGTGTGGCATGAAAGCCATGTCATGTGATGCGATAAGATTTTTCACGCGCCCCTTGCTTCACGTTCTGACCTCACGCATCTCGCAGCTTGAAAATCGAAGACTCCACCGATTGTTGGAGAAGCGACTGGACATGGAGGAGAACAGCGATGAATCCTCCAAAAAAGATTCTAAAACAACCAGGTGATACTCTTCCTCTTTGAATCTCTCTCCCTCCTCCCTCCTTCCTCCCTCCCCCCTCGTCCCTCTGTGCTTCTTCTTCCTCCTCCCTCCTCCCCTTCCTCCTCATCTCACACTTCTCCTTCAGTTCCTCCAAGTCGCGGGGAGAGGTCAGGCCTGAGCCCCAACCAACACCACCGCCACCGGCCCTGGACATGACGAGGAGGAGGTGACAAAGTCGTCTCCGCTTCCCATCATCACCGACACCCTACAGCCTTGACGGCTCCTCCAACAACCACAAGTCAAGCTCGACCAAGAAGTGGTCGCAGGTGCAAGGAGGCAGGAGATCGCAGGAGGTTTGTTGGCTTCATGGCGGCTGTTCGCAAGTTGTTGCTCCTCATACTCATCTGTCAAGGTCTCGGCGAAGAAGCAATCCAAGATGTCTTCTAGTTCCGATGAGGAAGAACTCAGATTCTCCTTGTCTATCAGGTGGTCACTCCTCTCCCTCCCTCCCCTCCTCTCTCCTCCCTCCTCCCCCCCCCGCTCCACCTTCCTCTCTGCCCTTTGTTCTTCCCTCCTCTCTCCTCCCTCCTCTCTCCTCTCTCCTCCCTCCCCCCTCCTTCCTCCTCTCTTCTCTCTCCTCTCTCTCCTTTCATCTCATGAAACACTCTCTCTCAAAAGGTCAAGAAACGAGCCTGAGCCTGAAAGAC